TATAATATCCTTACTAGAAATTGTGAATAGCTCTAAGAGGGAAGAAACGTAGGGGTGGGTCCACTTGGAACCCACAATAGCAATGGTGTTATGGACAACATTTTTGAGCTTGCTGAAGCTGCCATCTATTGTCCCCCTTTGTTTTTCCATATAAATTCGTTTAATTCGTTTATACGTTGATTACTAATAATGATGATTCACTTTTCTTTATACAGTGGTAAATTTATAAAACGTTTTTGATCAAAACCACACTTCGATCGGATTTATCCTTTATACATTTGAATTTTGTAAATTTTCTTTGTCAAAATGTAAGAGAAATCAACAAATATACATTTCCATACTTCCTATTTTTATAGCATGGACGCAATTTATAAGTCAAATTTAAAACGAATTCAAGAGATTTTATTGACAGATAATAATGAAAGTGATGATATCGGTGATGGTCAAGATTCTGATTCGGATAGCGAATATGATCCTATTGTTACTGAATCAGATGACACATCCACTAATGAGCATATATCAGAAGAATCTGATTTATCAAATTCTGATATTGATCAAAGTGATATTGCCACAGATAGTCAACCAGAAACATTAAAGAAGGCCGGTGTTACATGGTCTATACATTCAATTCCGGTACAAGGTCGAATATCTGCAGCTAATATAATGAAAAAGAAACCAGGTTCTATTACTAAAGTCCAGACCATTCTAGATGCTTTTAAGCTTTTTTTACGAATGAGATTCTTAATGAAATTGTTCTACACACAAATCGTTATGCTGAACGATATTTTGATCAAATGCAAAGATCATAACAAGGTTCTAATACTATGAAATTGAATTCACTTCAATGGAAACCATTAGATCGTATTGAATTAGAATCCTTTATTGGTTTACTGATCCAATCTGGTGTTAACAAAGACAATCATGAATTACTTTCTGAACTATGGGACATTAGTCAAAGTAGTCCAATATGTCAAGCTACAATGTCCCTTGAACGTTATAGATATCTTCTTCAATTCATTCGATTTGATGATCGACGACATCGTGATAAATCTGACCATCTTTGCTCCATTAGATTTATATTTGAAAGTGTTGTCAAACAACTTCCACGACATTTTGTACCCGGTGAAAATCTAACTGTTGATGAACAATTGGTACCCTCTCGTGATCGTTGTTGTTTCGTGCAATATATGCCGAAAAAATCGGCTAAAGTTTTGGGCATTATGTGATGCCGATAGTCGATATGTATTCTCACTTGATCTATATACCGAGAAAAAGGATAACGTTGTTCTTAATTTAGTTGATCAATTGCCGAAGAGCGTGAAGCAAGGTCGCACCATTA